TGGGTATAGTTTCTTGACAACGTCTAACAGAAGCTATACTTCCCTCTTGGACACCGCATATACCCGTAAGGGATTCCTTGTGCTGTGTCATTGTTGTAGTGTGGAATTAAGAAGGCTTCCACTCTATAACAATAGAAATTTATTAAATAAAAAAATTAACGAATGAAAAATTTTTATTTAGTTTTTTGCTTTTTTGCCATTGTTATAGTTTTTTTTGGCCTTCCTAGTTCATGTTTAGCTGGACGGACTTCTTTTGAATATTGATTTTTTTTATGAGCAGCAATCATCGAGACTGTTGAGAAATATTTCTCACAAATAGAACAGGAGTGTTTTGTATAATTATCAGCTATGGAAGAGCAATGCTAGTCGTACTCTGGTATTTTTGCTTTATCAAGATACTCTAATAGATGTATTGAATTAATATAATGGCCATTTTTTCCTATTACAAGAGGGTGAAGAAAACCATCATTTGAGGCAAGAAGGCTAGCAGCCTTTTCGCATTGCTTAGGGGAGCAACATTTGATGTTATTACATTTCTTTACATCTAAAGAGTGTCTGCAAATCCTTGTATGAATTTCTATTCATTTTCAAGGTATATTATCTGAAATCGAGGTACTTTTCATGTCAACATATTCAGTCATGACAGGCTTTCCAAATATATTGTCTCATTTTTACAGGTCACAAAGAAGGTTTCCTGCATATTTAAAATTTTTCTTTGCTAGCTCCAGGTCAACAATTTTGCCCTGTGAGTCAAGATGGGTGCCATGTTTGTTAACAAGCAGGACTATGCCTACAAGTTTTGCTAAAAGGGATGCCATATTTCTCTCAACAGGGTTGTATAATGAGTGACCTAGAGTAATTAATAGAATAAACTAATGTTTAGTTAACTAGTTATTTAATATTTATCAGTTGACTAAATTTTTTAATTGATAATTTTGACAAATTGGTAGTTAATCAAATAATTTTAGTCGATTCTAGATCACTAACCCAGAGCATGAGTTCTAATGATCAAATAATCGAGATTGAAAGAGCAAAATATGGCATAGTATTGAGAGATGTTTTTCAAATATTGGGGATTTTTATCTGAACCCCCATCTACAAGAAGGACTCAGATGGGTCTGATTTTATTATTAACCTTTAATATATTGCTGAAACAGCCATTGTTCACTAACAAATATAGATCATTCATATGGGTTATCGAGCTTGTTCCCATCTCATATTGCAGACGGATGTATATTGACAATTGGCTGCTACAAAGCGTATAGTTTGTGTCACTTGGGTCAATGATTAAATAAACAGATAGAACAAGTTTCTGTTGTGAACCAACAAGAAAGTCATGGTCTGGAATGATAACTGGCTCATTGATGCTTTGTATGACTTGGAAAGTTCTGCTAATTGCAAAAATGCCAAGAGGAACTTTGGCTTTATCATCTTGTGACACAATTACTAAAAAGATTGAAAATAGGGATGCAAACTGTTTTACTGCCTTTACAGAGGCAAGACAATAATAGTTATCTTGATGCTCTGCTTTTTTATTTCTTAAGACAGTTTTGACCTAAATTAGCATCGTTAACAGATATAAAATTAGACAAGGTATGAACATGTTACTAAAAGTTTGTTATTTTTTAAATAAAAATGATTTTATATAATTTTTAAACTATATAATGATAGTGTATGAACATTCATAGATGAATGTACACAAACCAAAAAAAGATAGCGAATATTAAATAGAGATTGAATTTGAATTTGAAAAATTCTACATTTTATATAAATTCGAATTTCAAATTCAAATTTATATATGAAATATATTGTATTTTTATGAAATAATAGGCATAGATGTTATTTTGAAAATTGGATCATTTTAAAATAGTGTGCTTTAGTTTCGAAATAACCCTCGAAGTAATGCACTCCATGTATTGTATGTACTAGCAAATTTGATATGTGCATTAGAATTCAAAAAACTGATCCTTTTTCAAAATAACACACATGAGCGTACTCAAAATAATGTGTGTAGCTCAAAATAACACATAGGTGGGTGTTATTTTGCGAAAATATGGTGGAATTTTTCAAATCTGAAAACCAAACCTCTAATATCAAAAATATATATTACTTACCTGAACATTAGTTGGATGATGGTATTTTTTTGCTGCTATTGAGTTTGAATGACATGGTAGCAGGTAATTGTTCACAGTAGTTCGAGAGAGATGTTCATCATATTTTGACTCTAGTACTTCTTGCAAGTGATTTATTATTCGAACCTTAATAACTTCTTTTCTCCTTTTGCTATCAGCAGCCCCGAACTCTATGCTTTCGTGAATATGCTCTAATAAGTTTAGGTATTTGTACAGGAGAAGAGGGCACCTAGGCGAGTCATACTTTATGACTTTCTAATGCTTCTTTAAATTTTGGTCTTTTTTTTCTCTATAATTGCGCTGGTAATCTGCATTTTTTTTTAGGCTTTGGATTTTTTTTTCCTTGACCTGGAGGACATTTTTAAGGTCTCGTATATGATTTATTAGCTTACATTTGGCCTCCGGATAGATGGTTGAATTATAGTCCTCTTGATACTTTGCGATTTTATCATTTATTTTAATGATTATTTCTTTTGCTTTCTTCTGTGCTGCAGCATTTGGTAGTGGTGCACCAGAAACAATGACTTTCTCAATTATTCTATTTTGGATTGAAGTTTCAGTATTGAAATATTCGACAGAGTTTAAATATTTAGTAGTAAAGGCAGCATTTGCAATGAGATATTCTATAGTATTCTCAATTTTATGTTTTGGTTTTTATTTCATGCATCAAGAGCTTCTTTGCACGCTAAATCTTTCGAATATTTAGGATCTGTAATGCTGATCATATGATTGTATGCAAAAGCATTGCAGAATTTTTGGTATTGATTTGTTTCATTTTTGTAAATATATAATTTGTTGTATTCTAATGTATTTGAGACTTGTATTTTAAGAAGAAATAAAAGAGAATAGCAAAAAGAGAGAGAAAAAGAAAAAAAAAAGATCAGAGATTACTATTAATTATTGGAATAATGGATCAAATAAAGAAAAAATGTAATCGAATGAGTAATCTTGAGTGAATTAGTAACTGGTAACACAGTTTGAATTCAGTCATATTTATAGTAGGTAAAACAATTTACTAATTATTAGCTACATGCCTTTGATAATTATTTACAATAGGTGTTCATGCAAGAATGAGGGATTTTATTTATTCAAGTAGTTATAACAATATCCAGTTCACATTTGCGGGTCTTATGTCTATCTAATACATTTCATCATTTTTTTTAATATAATTTTAGTTATTATTTTTATAGTTACAGATTAAAGATACTTCTTATTATACTGGATGCACCTGGAGAAAATTTATACTGTAATAGTTTAATGAACAGGAGTACTGTAAGTTTTTCATTTTATGCATCCAAGGAATTTTATCTAAATATACACATCTTTTATTTAATAGTTAAATGAATACCAATTTACATTTGACATATATAGAAAAAGTTGTTAAATTACTCATTTTTATTTTATTATGGTTTAATATAATTTTATTTTTAATTTTTTTTTAATATTTTAATGGATAGATTATGTATCTAATATTACATTCGATATGATTAGAGTACTGATAGGTGGGGTAATGCTGCTGATTTTACATTTGACATGTTTGTGAGAAATATTATCTAGGTGTATCTGATACATCTGAAAGAATTTTTTAAATAAATATTCTATGCTAATGTGTTTATAATTAATTTCCTTTTCAAGAGAATTGTTAAAGCCAGGTACAGTCAGAGTTAGTTTTTGATGCAATATGTAGATCAATCTATGAACGTAAATAGATCTGTCCCTGAATTAGTTTTATTCTTCTAACAATGCGAAAGGACAAAGATATTAATATTGCTTAATATCCTAGTGATTAAACTCAGTTGGTGATAGCTGGGTGATCTGAACAAGCGATTTGATATAATTATTCATATTTTTTATCTACTTACCGATAAAAACTATTATCTAGGCACAAATCGAGCTATTAAAAATAATTTCAGTGCTCTGATTTTAAAATTAAAATTTATGTTTCATATAAAAGTTTTAAATTTATTAATTATATTTTTTTTACCTAATTAATTATGCATTTTAAAGATTATTTTTTTTAGATTTTTTATTTAATTTTTTTTAATTTAGATGTAAGTGCACATTTGATTAATTTAATTAGATAAAGGAATAAAAAGTTTCATTAGTAGAATTACAAACTTTATATGAAATATAAATTTTTTTTAATATACATATTTTATTAATAATTGTAAGGATATGTGTTTATTTATTTTATTGTTAATTTAATTTGAAAGTATAAAAAAAACATTTATTGATCGAAAAATTTGAAACAAACTATTCAATACTTGATTTTATTTAATTATGTAAGTGTAAAGGATACTTATTAATTGATGCATTTAAATAAGTTATTTAAGTTCAATGAATATTTAATATTACATTATATCTCTTATTTAACTTTAATTTATTTATGTTAATTAATTTGGTAAGTACAATGAACATTTATTAATTCATATGTTTAAAATAACTTATTCAAGTTAAATATATACTATCATATAGATATTTCTTATTTAGTTTTGTTTATTCATGTTAACATATTCTGTAAGTGTTAAGAACATTCATTATTGCATTTATTAAATGATATACTTAAAATGTACTATTTAAATTGATAGATTATTATTACACGATACCAAATTTAGTTTAGTCGAGCTAACTTAGTAAGTACTTGTTATCGGTCATGTTGTGATAACTAATTATTCACTAGGATACTGCTTTTGTGACGTGACTGAAGATCAAGTCATAATGCGATATCTACTGTGAATAAATCAGTGATTATCAGTCACAATTTGACCAATAATATGCTTATCTGACATGTCTTATGTGAACCTCCTTCTAATACAAATACACAAATTTTCATTTACCTCTTAAGAGGTAATAAAAATTTGTATATTGTATTTGGAGGTTGCCTAATAACTTACATGAAAATCATTCAGTGTTTACATAAGACATGTCAGATAAAGAATATTTATTAATTAATATATTTATCAATCGATGCATTTCAAATAAACTATTCAAATGATAAATATTTACTACACTTTATACTTGCTAGCAAAATTAAAGTAAATATAATAAAATAAAGAACATTTATTAATCGATTTATTTGAAATAAGATGTTTCAAGTTCATAAATACTTATCACGCTTTGTTTTGTTTTATTCGCTTTAATTTAGTTTGTAAGTGCAAAGAGCATTTATTGAATATATACATATAATAGATACATATTATAATACTCTGTTTATTATTACACTTATTTATTCATGCTTATGTATAAGAACATTTATTAATATTTATATTTAAAGTAAGTTATTTAATCTTATAAATATTTAACATTACATGAACTGTTAGTTTTATTTTATCATGTAAGTATAAAGGGCACTTATCTATATAGGAGTGCTGGTCAAAATCCCAAAAAACAGAATCCCGACAAGGTCAAAATTCTGACAAGTTAGCCCATATTAGATTAGCATTTTGATCCAAATCTATTTCAGAAGTTGATAAAGATTTTCTAGAAGCTGTATCAATGTAATGATAAAATTTTTAAATTAATATCACTAGATCAACTGAGTTATTCAGGCTATTTTAAATAACCTTGTAATAATCTTGTAAACAGATGAGTAACCCATAGAGATTTTATATCGGGTACAATCTCTAATTTAATGTATTTAAATTATTAGTTCTAGCATATCATCACTACATACATTCTGTGTCTCCAACTATTTCAGTGCAGATCTATGATGGTAATTAATTTAGAATATAATACTATGATGTAAATATTTGTTTATTCTAATTTGACTTATCGAACTCTTAATCACAATAGATTATACTGGGTTCCAACTTCTATTTGGTAAGCTTTATAATTTATAATATATCACGTAGCATGACTTAAAACTTTCTAACTTATATTACTGGATATAAATTTATTTATAGGAATATTTTTCCAAGAGTCAATGAATTTTTCAATTTGTTACTATAATTCTGTACTTCAAATGGCTCTTTATTACCATAATTCTGTGCTTCAAGTAGCTCTTTATTTCTGCCTGTCATTTGGTAAGTTTTATGGATATATCTTTACTTATGTTAGCTTCTGTTTGATAATTTATTTATTAAACTTACGAACAGCTTTATATTTTGCCTGTTATTTGGTAAGCTTTATTTGTATATTTTGTTTATTAATTGGTGGCTCCTTGTTAGTTTACTTGTTTAAATGTTTTTTTTTTATTTCTGCTTATCATTTTAAATTTATCGTAAATTTTCAGTTATTTACTTTAATTGATTTTTTATTTATTTAATTTTGCAGACAGTACAGTGATTATATGATAAATATGCTGAATTCTAGCTATTCAGCTTATTATTATTTAAGTAATTGTCTATGTTTAAATCCCTGGTTCCTTTTTTTCTTATGTCATTTTGCAAATTTCACTTGATGAATGGACCTCTATTTGCATCCATAGTTTTAGATTTGTTAATATATTTATTTATGATTATTTATAGTTAATTATTTCACTTTCATTTATTAAATAAAGTATTAGGATATAAAGACCGGACTGCTCAATATAAATAAATATTTGATTTAATTTTTAAAATGTATTAGAAAATAAGATGAATTCGTAAATAATTATATTTAAAATTTTGATTGGTCGTGGTGATATGCAAAGTGTTAGGTCTTATATGGGTAAGTACACAACAAAACTATGCTTAGAATATATATAATATATATTCTCTAAGTATGATTTTACTATATACTCACCTATATGATCTGACACCTCGTTTTTGCTATAGCTATAGTACTTTCATTAGAGTTGGAGTAAAGTTAGGCTAGGATAACTGAGGTATCTATCAAGTTCATAAATATTTTCTTCACTTCTTAATTTTATTAAGTTAGATCATAAGTGTACAGAATGTTTATTAATCAATATATTTTAAGTAAACTATATAAGTTGATTAATATTTACTACAGCTTCTCAATTTTAGCTTATTTGAGCTAATTTAATCGATAGGGACACCCATAGCAAGATGAAGGATAGGACTATATATTATATAGTCTCATCTTCTTTTGCTATAGAAGTCCTTATATTTAAGATAATCTATTTTAGTTTATAAATATTTACTTATCACATTTTATTTTATTCATGTTAATTTAGAGCGTAGGTATAAAGAACATTCACAATTATAATTGGTGGTAGAATTATTGAATTATGGCATTACAGCATTTTACCAGATGGTAGAATTAATTACAGCATAGTACCTGATTGCCATAAATATTATATACCGTAATGCTGCAATGCTGTAATGTTATAGTATTAAAGCAATTATTGAATGTATATCAGGTTTGCAGTACAGCAAAAATTCTTTAGTTGCTGTTCCTGCAGATCCTTGATTTTGATTGGCTAATGATCATGAATCTGCAAAATTTTGACTTGCATTACATAATTGTTTACTAATTTCTAGCTAGAATTAATCTTTTAATTCTAAAAATAGCAATTTTCAAAGAAATAGGCTCACATAATAGTAAAATTAGCCCAGGAACAATTTTTACTTAATGGGCATTGTGATTTCATTAGTAAAATCTTGAGTAATTTTGGCCAAAATTTAGATTATCGCTCGATACAGAATTTTTTACCCATTTGTTAGAATTAAGAATCAAAGAGAATTTTTTATGCTAAGTGATTTTTGACAAAACAGGTATTTGCTTAGAATTTTATTGATCGCTTTACATTACACCTGATCTTGAAATCTGATTCATAGTTCAAGAATTGCTTTGATACTATGGCGTTACAGCATTACGCATTACAGAATTATGGCAAATAATACATGTGTTGTTGCCATAATGATTTGCCAAATTAATTCTACTGCCAACTATATTCACAATCGATAATTCATAATATTTTTTACATGCTAATTTAAAATTTGGAATATAATAAGAATATTTATCAACACATTTAAAATATACTATTAAGTTCATAAATATTTATAATTTATTCATGCTAATTTGGTGATTAATAGTTTAATCCAGGGTTGACCTATGAGTTGACCCACCACTTTCACCTGAATTATATCCTTTTGGTCCAACCTATACACCTGAGCGACCCATGGGTTCACTCATTGAACGACCCGGTTGTGGGGGGTTTTTTTTTATGGGTCAATTACATAACTAAAAACCATTAATTATTGCAGCACGTGAAACTGTTATGACATAATCTTGTTAGAAAAACAACTGTTAAAACCGTTAATTACTATGCCACATGAGACTGTTATGCCATAATGCTGTAAGGACCATTGGTTACTGTGCCATATGGAACCATTATGAAAATTTTCTGTGTCTGTAAGGGATTTCTAGAAGGTTCCAAATACCTGGATCTGGGTTTCTAGGAGGTTCCAAATACCTGGGTCTGAGAGGGGGCTATATTTACATAATAAGTGTCAGTTTCCTAATTGAGTTATTCGAAATAAATAAAATGATTAATTTATTACTTATCGTTTGAATTTTTAGTGCTCGATATATTTGTTACGTAACGTTCGAAAGTTTTTGGGTGGCGATTTTACCCAGTTTTAGAAATTGGCCATTAATGTTAATGCAGGCCGGATGATATTTAATGCAGGCCAGATGATATGCTAATGCAGGCCAATAATCTCATTAAAAATCCCGTGCGGAATCCAAAAAAAAACCCGCGCATCCCGCGCGAATACAGTATCTTTTAAGATAGAGTTTCATTCTGTATGCACTTGTATTCAGTTGCTATACCTGTTTTAACTTTTGTTTTTAAAAGATTCCCAACTTGGGTTTTTTCGATAGGTAAGTATTTTTTTGTTTTCTGGTCTTACTCGCCCGTGTCGAGTAAGATACCAGTCACATTCCTCCTGGCGGGTCCTTTTTAACCCTAACAAGTGTAAGTATATGTTTGGTTTTACCTTTTTATTTTATTGAGAAATCTTGTTAGAATTGCTCTTTGTAGATGTTTTTTTTTTAATAAGCCAGGTTATAAAATTAAAACCATTTACACCAGAGGTTTTAGTTAGTAAAATTTTCACACTGTTTAGGGGCTAACACCTTTTGAAGGTTTCCTCTGGCCGGAAAAAAATTTTTTTGCATTCAAATTATCAGGTATACTTTAAATTACTCTATTTAAAATTTTTTGCCACTGTTATTAAAACTTAGTTATACTAACATAAACAAGATTATATTTTTGCGTTGTATTAGATTTAGGTTCTATCGTTATTTGCCAATATCGAGATAGTCGTTGACAACGCTTGGACGATTGAATACAAAATTATTGTTACGTCACTCATCGTTATTGTTATAAACTCGATTTTACGTAAGGTTACGCATATGTTTTGCTATTAGAATTCCCGAATAAGTTTCATATAACAATTATTGACAATATCAATTTGGTTTCTGTCAACATCTAAGTATTGACTTACAACTTCATTTTTATAATTATAATTTCTATTAGTAATCTAAATTTGCAGCAATCACATAAAGTCTATATTTGGTTTTGGAACTGATTTCGTTGGCGACATAATACACTGGAGTTCCAGGTGCTTATAATCCTAGCAAATATTTACAGCAAGTTTATTATCAAAAGAGGTTTCGTTAAAAACTTGTTGCCCGTTATTATCTGTCTTTACTTTGAAGGCATATGGCAACATTTCAATAACTTTTTTTGACTCGAGGTCATTTTTCGAAAGGATATAATCTCAACTCAATCAGCCAGCTAGTGTTCCGAGTTGGTAAAAATTTTTCCAATCGATTTGTTGCAACTAATCAATTTTTCCTATCATGTGACTAAATTTGTTGATTGGCCAATTAACTAAAGAAATCAACACGAACCAGACGGAATATCTCAGAATATAGTTCCAATCCGTCATCCATTTATCCATATGAGTGCATGAGAGTGAAAACCCGTAACCAATTATAATAAATCATTAAATGTATTTCCTGATTTTCATTCTCACCTGAATTTATCCATATCAGGATAAACCGGATAATTATAAATTCAGATCTGGATATCCAATATATAAATGGATAAACGGATAATGGATAGGAACTCTATCTCAGAATTAAACTAGTTGATGATTTAGTCGATTAGTTGTTTCAAAATTTTCCAAATCGATTAGTAAACTAGTTGGTTTTTCAACTAACACTACAGCCAGCACTATAAACTAGCTTTATCTAGATTATGTTTTTTTAAAAAAAAAAGATTTCGAGCACTTGAGTTACAATGTAATACTATTTTTTGGTATTTGCATACGTATCGGTATGTGTATTTCATAACTAAATTTGCAAAATAAAGAATAGCCAGACTTTCCATGTTCTTTACACTGTTTTATTCATATATGTCTCGGCAATAATTAGAGGTGCGAGCGTTGATTGGTGTAACTTATAAAAATACGATAAAATTAATTTGAATGTATATATACGTATATATATATATATATATAGCTTTTACATGTGAAAATTGTGTTAATTCCCGACTTATTGACATACCAGTCAATGTACGTAAAATAATAACATTAGTAATGTGTAGCCTTATGTGTGTGATCATCATTTATTTAGCCAATCAGTATCACGGAAGAGGTGAACAGATTTCTTCGCATGGTCTTTATGATCGTAAAAAACGTATACGTAGTATGGGACAGCATAATGTATCCACTTTTTTAGTAAAAGCATCAGATTCTCGTACGCAAAAAAAATTTTTATTAATAAAAATTTATACGTAATAAAAAAATATTAGCCAAATTTTAAATGTTTGTATATTTTAAATTATTATGACTTAAATCCCTCAAAAAAAAAACTATAAAATTGAAGAGGGATTTTTTTTTAAAAAAAAGTTACAAGAATTTAAAGTTTACTTATCTTGTCCCTTACTATAGAAACAGTGTGCCTTCCACTTCATTCCAGAAAAATTAAAAATGATATATATAATGGTAACTGTAATACATATATGTCGATACTGGCAACGTCTCTAAACTATGTGATGAATAGTACTGTATTAAATGGTTTCGACAATAATACGTAACCAAACAGTAAATTACCTAATGTGAAACGTACTAGTTTGGGAACTAATCGATTTTTTTTAAAAAAAAAAGTACATACGTATAACTAAGTATACCGTATTACCTCGAAATAACGCCCGGGGTGTAGTTTAAAATTTTTGGCCCGAATTAAGATTAATTTAGGCCGAATTAAGCTTAATTCGGCCAAATCTTTAACCTACACCCCGGGAGTTATTTCAAGGTAATACGGTATATATATTTGTTAATAAGGATTTCACAAATTGATTGTTTGCTGATCTTTTTATGCATTGTCTTATCAATTGTATATAATTAATAAATGCATTATTTAAATTGCAATGCAGTAAATTACCGCAGCAAGAATTCCAAATACGAAATATGTATTGGGTACGTACTAATCAACCTGTGTAAAAATTCATGGATTTTTTGTGGAATAAGTCAAAGTACATGATCAAATATCTAAAAATTTTGTCTTTTGTAACGTATGATATGTGAATTGTAGACCCAATTATTTGACCTGTTTTCCTGCAAATATCTGTTCTTCACCTTTTTGGTATTTCAGTATCAAAGTCCTAATTTCGCCTCCTTTTTTCTTCTCTATTATTTGTTGGATAATCCTTCCCATTCCTTTAAAATTTTTGCCTCTTTTTATTTTTATTTTGTTTCTTTAATATAATTCCTACATTACTAGCATTTCCGTATCACAATACCTTATTTTTATTTTTGGTGTAAAGTTTTTAAAGTATCAAGATAACTTTTTTCTTCGAAATACATAATGTCTTGCGATTTATCAGATCCCAACATTTCAGAAGCATATGAGGAGATCATTAGTGGTCAAGATACTAACTGGTAAGGTTTATACTTCTTCTGTTATATTTCTTGAATTCTGAGGTAGTTCAAAGTTTTTGTTATCTGCTTTTTTTGCTTTGGTTGATTGTGAAGCAGATGAGTGCAAAAGACGACAAATTCTCTATTGACACGTTGTATAAGGTATTGAAAGGTTAAGATTTATTATATGAAACGTTTGAAAGGAAAAAAAGTTTTTATGTGAAAACAAGCCTGAACCGATTGAACATATATATATATATATATTATCAGTGTCTAACCAAACTCTTATCACTTTCTTGTTAAACTATTATCAGAATAGATTTCCACATAAAAAGATTCTTAACATATAATTTTTTATAATCAATTTAGGCTTATTCTTGGCTATAATGATACACGAGATAAAATTTCCCTTTATTCCAAAGGTTCTGGTGGTCTCGAAGAACTCCGTAATAATCTCAGAGAGGAAGTACTTTATGGTTTCCTTAGAATTGAAAACAGATTCGTCTTGCTTACTTATGTTAGCGAAGCAGTAAGGTATATTTAATTTTTATAAATATATTGAAAAAAAATTTTATATACATATATATTTATTAATTTGAATTAAAATCTATATGAAATTAAAAAATTTTATAGTGGTGTACGAAGAGGTAATTAATTTAGCCATACCTTTAAACAAAATTTTTATTCTTATATAAATTAATTTTGTCAATGTTTTTTGTTTGAACGTTAGCCCGCGCTTTAGTCCACGGTAGAGCCGTTGGTGCATTATTCAAGGTATGTTGCATATATTGATTATATTTATTTAATAAATACGCTTTAAATCCTGAAATGGGTTGAACTCTTTCTTTATTGTCAAGCAGGCACATCAAATTCAGATCAATGCTTCCACCCCAAACGATCTTACGGAAGCTAATGTTCGTAACAGATTGAAATTAGGTGATCCATCTGAGAGACCAAATTCTCCTCCAGGGCCAAAGCGTAATCAAACTCTTCCTGGTACACCTCCAGCTGGAAGTCCTGTTCAATCCCAAGTTCCTGTGTCTCCTATTTCACCTAAACAACCTCAACCTGACCCAGGAAATGATGAAGCTCTTTTAAAACAAGATTCTGAAAGACGCGCTGCCGAAGATGCTGAAAGACTAGCGCGTGAAAAAGGTGAACGTGATGCTATTGCCCAAAGAAAAGCTGCTGAACAAGTTGCTAGGGAGGCTGCTCAAAGGAGAGCTGCTGAAGAAGCTGAAAAAAAGAAAGAGGCTGCAGAACAAGAAAGAAGAGAAAAGGCTGCATCAGAAGCAAAGGCTAAAGCTGAACTTGATCGTAAAAATCGTGAAGAAGCCGAGCGAAAACGTAATGAAGAACTTAGAAATAAATTTGCTGAATTGGAAAAGAGTGGCAAGGTGACTACTATTTCGTCATTAATCTTTTTTTTCTTTTGCATATTTAAAATTATTATTATTATTTTTGTTTTTTTTAGGTTACATTAAGTGGATACATTACTGTTCAAGGTGGTGGTGTTTATGTAAGTAATTTACTTTATTATTATATTATATCATCTGCATATTAATATAATTTCGTCATTGTGATAATTCTAAAACTGTTTAAATAAATGCCACAATAACAGTTTTGGAAACGTCGTTTCTTTGAGCTTCGCGGCAAGACACTCTACCTTTTCCGAGATGAAACTGATAAGCTCCCCATTTCTAAACTTGAGCTTGACGGTCAAGTCACTGGCGTAACAGATGCACAATCTGAAGTATTAATACTTAATTCCTTTAAAGTTGATTTTCGATCTTCAGAACCATATTATTTCTTTTCTGATGATAAAAAGAATAAGGAATTGATTGTTGCGGCTATAGGTAGATATGCTAAATAATCTTCATATATTCCTTTATATTCCTTTTAATTACAGTAGGCATGATTTGGGGTTTTTTTTTATATTTGATGATGTTTATAATAAGGAAATTCTTTTATGTTTATTTTAAGTTTGTTTTTATCTTGTGTTTTCCAATTTTTTATTTCTATATAATTCATAATTTGTATTTTTTACAAATTTTTTAGTTATTTTTTTTATATCTAAATTTATTATCACCGTTCTTATATAACTCTAATGGTTTTGGTATATTTTTTTCTTAGAGCAATTTGTGGTTTAAATATATGGCGTAAGTGGATTACAGTATTTAAATTGTGTAATTTTTTCATAAGCTTTTTAATGCAAACATATGCATTCGAAAGAGTAATTTTAAAATTTTTAAATTTTTATTAAATGAATCGTTTGAAAATTTTTGTGAAATGTAACTACTAAATACAAATAGTTAAGTACATCTATCGTTATACATTCATACTATTCATACTATTTACAGAAATTTTTGTGTAAGTCGAACCTGTTGACAGCATCAGTGATTGGTTATTTAGATACATATATTTATTATTAATAATAATATTAGCATTATTATAATATTTTACTAAAAAGTTTTATTTTTGTTGAGTATATTTATTATTAATAATAAAATTAGCATTATTATAATATTTTACTAGAAAGTTTTATTTTTGTTGAGTATATTTATTATTAATAATAAAATTAGCATTTATAATATTTTACTAAAAAATTTTATTTTTGTTGAGTTTTTTTTTTATCTATCAAAGTCTTTTACGTATAAACATTTGGTACATACTTATGTACAGTCAGCTCCAAAAATTTAACACGGCTATGCAAAAAGCAACAAAAATTTGTTCAAATTAACGATATTAATGTACGTACTAGGTCTTAGACTTGGCAGTGCTCCGGAACTAGGTATCCAGTTTTTTTTATAATTTTTAGATCCAAATATTATCTTAAAAGATAAAACTTTGGATATTATAGTTTAAATGGTTTTTAATAAGTAGGTTTTTAATCTTAGACCTGAGCGCTGCTCCGGGGGGCTGGTTTCAAGTTTTTTTATAGATTTTAGATCCAAATATTTTATAGTTGGTTATGTCTTAATTTTTTCATAATTTTTATAGTTTTAAAATTATTTCAGAAAATAAAATTTAAAATTTATATAGTTTTATAATCTTTTAATTTGTAGTTTTTTAATTTTAGATCTATATACTGTTCTAAAAGTTAGGTCTCAAGTTTTTTATAGTTTTAATAGTTTTAATAGTTTTAATAGTTTTAATAGTTTTAATTAGTTTATAGTTTGTTAATTTTTTTTTTTTTTTGGTATTAAGGTAACCTCTTTGGTTTTTTGACTTTTATTAATGACTTATTGGTAATGTGATTCAATGAACCACTACATAAGAGAGTACAATTAACTATATGTATAATTTTTTTATATTACCTATTTAAGAAGTCTGCCCAAAGGTTCTATACTAATTGTTATACTTAATATCTTTACTTGGGTGTTTTGCTTTAAACTCTCTGAACCTATAATTTGTGTTAACTCACTAGGTTATACTCAGATGTCCAGATCATCATCTTAATTTTAGGATTATTTTATTCTTAAGTTAAACCTTTCAGAGCCTTCTGTATCTATTTTTACAACTAATCTAGATATTACTATAGTAGAACTAATACTTGTGGTCAGGATTTAACTATTAAACTGTTATGTTTTTATAGAGTTCACTCAAACTCCAGCATCTACTTCATAGCATAACTTCAGTACTTTAGTATATCCTTGAATTTCATCAAACTTTCAATTCAGATGGTTCATATAAGACTATAACCAGTTTATTAGTATATTAGGTCAGCCAAAATCCTTTTTCTCTAGTTTATTTCAGTAACTTGGTTGATGATACTTTTGAGACTTCTAACTCAAAGATTCTTGTCTGTCTGGTTACTAAGATCTTGATATTTGTTTTTCTAATCTAGCCTTTATAATAGCATTATCAAAGATTTAACTATCTCTTTATTTAAGTTTTTTTAAATAGATTTCTTATTATTTAATTTTAATAGATTTATATAATCACAAGAACTTATTTAGTGTTTGCATTATCCAGTTGTTAGTTTGTATTTCTCTATGTAACTTCAAAATTGTATAAATGTTCTATAACCTACCAGTTATATTGGTATGACTGTCATTACAAATATTCTAATCTAATTCTTAATAACAGTTGCTATAATATAAATATTATATAAGTAATTATTCAAATTTTCATTGTCAATAAGATTTAAATACTTAATCTACTATTTAAAGGTTGACAACCTGATCACTTTACTAGGTCATCATACTTTCTATTAATTTATTTTTTATTAAATTTTTATTTTGATTTTTAATAATAAAATTATTATATAATTTAAGTCAATAAAGTAGAATTATTTAGAAAAAAATTTTTTTTTTGCAATCTTGCTATAAACTTTTATTAAAATTCTTGTATATAAATTATATATATATTGATTTAATTTTTAGTTCAATATTCTTTAGCTGCTTTTATAAGTATTTAAAAAATGGTTTGCTGCATCAGTTAAAAATATATCTAAATTTAGATGCTGTACTAAACTATTATATATAAATAGTTTTATTTTATTTTTTAAATTTTTTTTTGACTCTATTATAGTTTAGTTTTTCTATTTTATTGAATTTTTTTAAAAATTAAGGTTGTTTTTTTTGATGATTTTTTTTTGTATCTTTCTTTTCTTGTTAGTTTTTATATTTTTATTTTTTTTTATAAAATAATGATCTCATTGCTATTTTTTTATATTTTTTATAAAAATAATTTATATTATACTAATTGCTGTAGTGACAAACTCTTTTGTTTTTTTAAATAATCAGATTATGTTTTGCAATAATTCTAATATTCTTTTCTATATTAGGTTCTTAATTATTTTATATCTTAATTTAAATTTTTCTTTAGTTTGTATAATTTAAAATTTTTTTTAAATTGGGTTTTGTCTGTTTCTAATTTAATTTTATTTAAAAGTTTTATTTATACAAAATTAATTAAGATTCTTTTATATTTTTTTATTTGTTTTATAATATTTGTATATTACTAAATAGTTTTAATTTTTTTTATTTTTTTAAAAAAAGGATACAATATTAATTTTTGTAGAAATCAAAATAACATTGTATTAATGTTTTGACTACTAATAATTTTTTATTTATGTATTTTATCAAGAATTTTATTTGTTTATTTTTCTTTGTACTTATATATTTGCTTTTATTTTAATTTTTAAGTTTTTCAAGAATATAACTAGTTATATTTTTTAATATTTTTATTTGAATTTATCTTTTTAATTACTGTATTCTTCTAAAAATAAGCACTTTCTGTAATTTGTACATACTTGAAAATAAGCATCCTCTGAAGCAAAAATAGAAAACCTCTAATTTTATAATGTATACTTATATTAATATAAATAAATAATTAAAATTTATATTTCAAGCATATATAACAGATATTTAAAACCTACTATAAGATAATTTTATTTTATTAAATTGCACAATTAAGAGTTAAATTTAATAAACAACTTATAATATTTTTAATGTATTCTAAGCTATAATCTACTCAATAAAAAACTGATAATTGTTACTTTTTTTTTTCAACAATATTTTTTCTTATTCTTTGCTTCTTGGCTCTAACAGCCTTACTATATATTTTACATAATTTTAATTTTGGCTTACTGCATATTCCATATAACTTTAACTCCAAATATCAGTCTTGTTACATATTTGACTTTGAAAAATATCTCAATTAATTATGCAATGTAAAATTTGTATCACTTTAATAATAAATTTATCAATATTTGTATAATTTATAATATTAAAATAAAAATACAAATGTAACATTATCTTAATTATGCATCGTTAACATCTTAATCATTACTAACATAACTATCATGATCAATATCATTACTTTTATTAGCATTATTAACTTCAATTCCATTTTGAAAATCATATCCAAAATTATTTATTGCAACAAAACTTTTTATTTCTGCAAAATCTTAATAATAAATAATTTTACTTTGTTCATTCCTTCTGATATTATCATTATTATTGTCAGTATCACAAAGATCAATGATCTCTAAATCAGAATTCAATTCATTATTAGTATCACAAAGATTAATAACTTTTAAATCAGAATTCAATTCATTTGAATTATTGGAAATTTTGAAAGTTTTAAAAGATTCTATAATCATTTTATTAAGAAGTTTTTTCCAAGAATTTTTAACCCATATGTATACATTACCTATTTAAGCATAGTGAAGATTTCCTGCAGCTGTATTTTCAGCACCATATTTTTTTATCCAATTATGCCATTCTTTGCACAAGTAATCTTTGAACAGTTTGTTGATAGCAATGTTAAGTAGTTGATATATGCAAGTTAAGCTTGCAAGAATTACAGCCAGATCAAAACTGCACTCACCAAACTTATTTTTAACTAAATCATCTAGATGACTCTTAAAAAAATTATACATTAGCATTGTCAGTTTATTTCTAGTTCTATTTTTTAGTCTTAATTTATGAAAATAGTTCATATATTTTATTATTAATTTGGTATCCATCTAATTGTTGGTTTGAAACCAAACTACAATGCCAGCTAGAATTTGTTTTTGCTCTTTATATATTAATCACTTTTTCTTAAAAATGCAAATCAGTGAAAATTTTGTTTTATCTACAATAATAAATATATAACAGCATTAGTAAATAGAATATTATACTAGATAAAAATAAATAAATAAATAAAAACATGCCTGCAACACATATTAAAACAACTGTAAATCTATTTTTATCATTATTCATATCATGAATATAAACTGTTTTTACATCTTTTAATTTGACAATAAAGTTATCAACTATATCAAATCAAACAGATGTTTTATTTATATTAAGGATATTGTCTAACTTTAAGCTTTTAAGTTAAATAATATGTTTATAAAATTTGTCCAACAACTCCTAAGTT